GGGTGGTGGGGGGCGCTCCCCCCGGCAAACGCCGCCTTTGGAGCCGCTCGAGCAGACACGGTGCCTGGCGCCCACGTTACTGTCTCCCAGGCCCATCTGTGCTCGAGGGAGCGCGGGTGGGGAGGGGGTAATCTGGGGGTGAACAGGGGGAGGGCATTCTGAGGGGGAGATTTAATGACAGAGGAAGGACCAGAGCAGAAGCTCTCACTTTCTTAGCGTTTCCCAGAGACAGAATTTAAACATCCATAAGGTCATGCAAACTAGATAGAGCTGGAAACTGAGGCTGGGGAGTACCTAGGCCACAGAACAGAGCAGGAGAGGGTTCTAGGGGTCCTAGGGTCAGGTCTCTTCTCCACCCTTGCTTCTGTTCCAGTTCTTGCTATGGAGCTCTCAAGTGTAAAGGAGTATAAGATGGGGAAGAAGACAGAGAATTAAGAGTGGACAGAGAGAAAGTAAGATTAGGGCATTGGGATCAGCAGTTGGCATAATGGCTATGTCACTGAACTCCCATGTAGTTGACCATGGTTTGAGTCCCAGAATCAGTGGCTTTAACTCACGCCGGGCGTGTGTGCATGCGTGCCCAAGGTCCAGAGAGAATGAAGGAGAAGGAATTGTGGCATGGCCATCCCCCCGGGGAATAATTTTTCGCTTTCTGTCTCTGTCTCTCTCTGTCTTTCTGGCGAGTGCACGTGCCCTATAGCAAAAACCTCTCCCCGCCCCCCTCCCCCCAAAAAGAAATTAGGGGATGAAGAGACAGAGATAGGGAAGGGAGGGGATACAGGTGAGAGATAAAGAGGGGAGAGAAAATGCCAGGACTGGGAGGAAAGGAGAGGTGTGGGGGGAGGAATAGAAGGGAGGGAAGATGGAATGAGAAACAAAAAGGTGGGACAGAGGCAGGGTGAGGAGGAATGAGAAAGGACATGGAGGCGGGGTGATGAGGGAGTGGGTGAGCAGGACGTGGAGATGGGTAGTGGGCTGAGGGCCAGGACCAGTACTGGCTCCTCAGATCTGGGGGCTCTCACTCCCCTACCTCCAGACTTGTGGGGGCCCGGGCTGTGGGTGGCCCTGCTTCTTCCTATTTCAGTTCTGTCTCTGCCTCCTCCAGCCTCGCCTGTGCCAACACGAAGGCAGAGAGTTTCGTCACCAGCCCTTTACCTGGCTCCTGCTAATGCTGAAGTGTAGGCTTGGGCCTTCAGGCACACAGGGCTATGCCTTCAGGTGCTGGTCACACGGCCCTACTGTCTTCCTGGTTCACTACGGCAGCCCCTCTGTCCTGTTCCCTGGGCATTAGGCATGTGTGAGGGGCTGGGGTGTGCAGTACAGCATAGGGGATAAGAACGTGGGTCTAGGAGTCCGACTCAACCTTGTGAGGTCGCCTGCCAATCTCTGCCTCATCTCCTCCTTTGTAAGTGGGGAGAGGCAATCGCAGTGCTTTGCGGGTTTGTTGTGAGGGTTAAGTGAGGTAACACACATGATGCACTGGGCTTTGCATGCATTATAGTTAAGGCTCAGCCAAGTTAACCGTTACGCTGTATGTTCGCAGATAATTGGGTATGCGAGTGCATCTATAAATGTGTGAGTCTGACGGAATTACTTGTACCGTTGCACAAATTGGTGATGTGATTTGTGAGTGAGGGTGTATCTCTATAATTATTTTTGTGTGGGAGTGGGCCCGATTCTGTG